TCGCGATCTGATCCAAATTTAGTCCTCCTTGATTTATCAAACTGAATTCTTGTTCTAAACTTGGTTTATCCTTGAAAAAAAGCTAATATAGAGCAATATTACAATGGACTTCTGAAGCGGAAAAGCGAAGTTGATAAAGCTGAACAAACATTGAAAGCAATAAATCCTCAGTGTGCTAAGCAAGAAATTCGTATTGATTTATTAATTTTTACAGCTGCCAAATTGAAAAAATGCCATTTTCAAGTCTTATTTAGTGGATTCGGTTGGGTCGCTTATCTAGCTCAGTGATTTCGTCAGGACATACAAAATAAGAGGGTACAGTTATAACGGATTAGATCAAACAGCACACCTGGCACATTGACTTTCAAACGTGCTACTCCGAGCTAAAAACAATAAACATTCAAAAAAAGATTTTAGCTAGTAAATTCAGTTTTAACATATTTCAAAGCCAACTTTCAAAATTTAGCCTCCCTAAATGAGGCTTAGCGATCTGCATGTAATGATCGAGAACAGCCACAAAGCCCTTGAAACTCTTGGTGCGCGCTGAAAAAGAAATATTCCTGTGTACTCCATTTCGAACTGTGCTAGGTAGAAGGAGTAGAATCGCTAGTAGCATTTCGTCTTCTGCGGATCTTTCATTTAGAGAATGTGAAACGCATCCAGATCCTGCATGTAGTGGAGTGTTTGTGTGCCTGTTAGCTACTTTTAGTTTCGTAACCAGGTAATTTAAAAAGATAAAACTTTAGGGGTATACGAAAACTTGCGTTTTCCTCTGCTCAAAGGCTCAACATCCTACTGATGCTTTCTTATTTTCCTCAGGTCCGGAGCCGAATGGAAGTCAAATTTGCTCGGATTATTCGAATCTGCACTGGGAGAACGTGCGTAAACTTGCTCCCTACACAAGAAACTGTGCAAAAAAGAAAACTTGAGCTGACACTCGTGCACTCCGCTACCTACTGTAACAGATGCTAACTCCATTACGATGCTCTTTCGAATTAAATGAATTTGCATCCGAATGAGTGACGG